CCTGGGTTTCGAACCTACGGTATTGCGTGATCATGCAGACTTACGGTATTGATCCCATCCAGGTTTAAAAAAATGTAATTCTACTATACTGGAGTATTACATTAACAGAATGTGTTGAAAATGATGTTGCTTCCATAAGTTTTGTTTACAGTCATTTTGGCAGGAAGGGGAGGGTGGGTATTTGGGTATTTATTCTGGGAATTTATTCACAATGAGGCTCAAGAGGGGAGTTTATTCGAAGTGGGGTTTATTATTTTAAAAAAAATAAATATTATTAAAATTAGGCATAAACGTAAATAAACGTCTGATAATAACGATAGGCAAATTGAAACGTACGACTTGAAAGTTACACTTGAAGCCAATGCGAAAGAGATAGGGTAGAGCATGTTGTTATTGTTGCTAATAAGGTACATAACAAAACGAACGAAATACCGGTATGATTTTAGGGTGGTCTTATAGTTATACACTCGTATTACAAAAGCGAACAATATTCAGTCGGAGATTGGGAAGGCAAGGTAGACGCGCACTACTCGTAATAGATAGATAGATAGATAGATAGATAGATAGATAGATAGATAGATAGATAGATAGATAGATAGATAGATAGATAGATAGATAGATAGATAGATAGATAGATAGATAGATAGATAGATAGATAGATAGATAGATAGATAGATAGATAGATAGATAGATAGATAGATAGATAGATAGATAGATAGATAGATAGATAGATAGATAGATAGATAGATAGATAGATAGATAGATAGATAGATAGATAGATAGATAGATAGATAGATAGATAGATAGATAGATAGATAGATAGATAGATAGATAGATAGATAGATAGATAGATAGATAGATAGATAGATAGATAGATAGATAGATAGATAGATAGATAGATAGATAGATAGATAGATAGATAGATAGATAGATAGATAGATAGATAGATAGATAGATAGATAGATAGATAGATAGATAGATAGATAGATAGATAGATAGATAGATAGATAGATAGATAGATAGATAGATAGATAGATAGATAGATAGATAGATAGATAGATAGATAGATAGATAGATAGATAGATAGATAGATAGATAGATAGATAGATAGATAGATAGATAGATAGATAGATAGATAGATAGATAGATAGATAGATAGATAGATAGATAGATAGATAGATAGATAGATAGATAGATAGATAGATAGATAGATAGATAGATAGATAGATAGATAGATAGATAGATAGATAGATAGATAGATAGATAGATAGATAGATAGATAGATAGATAGATAGATAGATAGATAGATAGATAGATAGATAGATAGATAGATAGATAGATAGATAGATAGATAGATAGATAGATAGATAGATAGATAGATAGATAGATAGATAGATAGATAGATAGATAGATAGATAGATAGATAGATAGATAGATAGATAGATAGATAGATAGATAGATAGATAGATAGATAGATAGATAGATAGATAGATAGATAGATAGATAGATAGATAGATAGATAGATAGATAGATAGATAGATAGATAGATAGATAGATAGATAGATAGATAGATAGATAGATAGATAGATAGATAGATAGATAGATAGATAGATAGATAGATAGATAGATAGATAGATAGATAGATAGATAGATAGATAGATAGATAGATAGATAGATAGATAGATAGATAGATAGATAGATAGATAGATAGATAGATAGATAGATAGATAGATAGATAGATAGATAGATAGATAGATAGATAGATAGATAGATAGATAGATAGATAGATAGATAGATAGATAGATAGATAGATAGATAGATAGATAGATAGATAGATAGATAGATAGATAGATAGATAGATAGATAGATAGATAGATAGATAGATAGATAGATAGATAGATAGATAGATAGATAGATAGATAGATAGATAGATAGATAGATAGATAGATAGATAGATAGATAGATAGATAGATAGATAGATAGATAGATAGATAGATAGATAGATAGATAGATAGATAGATAGATAGATAGATAGATAGATAGATAGATAGATAGATAGATAGATAGATAGATAGATAGATAGATAGATAGATAGATAGATAGATAGATAGATAGATAGATAGATAGATAGATAGATAGATAGATAGATAGATAGATAGATAGATAGATAGATAGATAGATAGATAGATAGATAGATAGATAGATAGATAGATAGATAGATAGATAGATAGATAGATAGATAGATAGATAGATAGATAGATAGATAGATAGATAGATAGATAGATAGATAGATAGATAGATAGATAGATAGATAGATAGATAGATAGATAGATAGATAGATAGATAGATAGATAGATAGATAGATAGATAGATAGATAGATAGATAGATAGATAGATAGATAGATAGATAGATAGATAGATAGATAGATAGATAGATAGATAGATAGATAGATAGATAGATAGATAGATAGATAGATAGATAGATAGATAGATAGATAGATAGATAGATAGATAGATAGATAGATAGATAGATAGATAGATAGATAGATAGATAGATAGATAGATAGATAGATAGATAGATAGATAGATAGATAGATAGATAGATAGATAGATAGATAGATAGATAGATAGATAGATAGATAGATAGATAGATAGATAGATAGATAGATAGATAGATAGATAGATAGATAGATAGATAGATAGATAGATAGATAGATAGATAGATAGATAGATAGATAGATAGATAGATAGATAGATAGATAGATAGATAGATAGATAGATAGATAGATAGATAGATAGATAGATAGATAGATAGATAGATAGATAGATAGATAGATAGATAGATAGATAGATAGATAGATAGATAGATAGATAGATAGATAGATAGATAGATAGATAGATAGATAGATAGATAGATAGATAGATAGATAGATAGATAGATAGATAGATAGATAGATAGATAGATAGATAGATAGATAGATAGATAGATAGATAGATAGATAGATAGATAGATAGATAGATAGATAGATAGATAGATAGATAGATAGATAGATAGATAGATAGATAGATAGATAGATAGATAGATAGATAGATAGATAGATAGATAGATAGATAGATAGATAGATAGATAGATAGATAGATAGATAGATAGATAGATAGATAGATAGATAGATAGATAGATAGATAGATAGATAGATAGATAGATAGATAGATAGATAGATAGATAGATAGATAGATAGATAGATAGATAGATAGATAGATAGATAGATAGATAGATAGATAGATAGATAGATAGATAGATAGATAGATAGATAGATAGATAGATAGATAGATAGATAGATAGATAGATAGATAGATAGATAGATAGATAGATAGATAGATAGATAGATAGATAGATAGATAGATAGATAGATAGATAGATAGATAGATAGATAGATAGATAGATAGATAGATAGATAGATAGATAGATAGATAGATAGATAGATAGATAGATAGATAGATAGATAGATAGATAGATAGATAGATAGATAGATAGATAGATAGATAGATAGATAGATAGATAGATAGATAGATAGATAGATAGATAGATAGATAGATAGATAGATAGATAGATAGATAGATAGATAGATAGATAGATAGATAGATAGATAGATAGATAGATAGATAGATAGATAGATAGATAGATAGATAGATAGATAGATAGATAGATAGATAGATAGATAGATAGATAGATAGATAGATAGATAGATAGATAGATAGATAGATAGATAGATAGATAGATAGATAGATAGATAGATAGATAGATAGATAGATAGATAGATAGATAGATAGATAGATAGATAGATAGATAGATAGATAGATAGATAGATAGATAGATAGATAGATAGATAGATAGATAGATAGATAGATAGATAGATAGATAGATAGATAGATAGATAGATAGATAGATAGATAGATAGATAGATAGATAGATAGATAGATAGATATATATATATATATATATATATATATATAGATAGATAGATAGATAGATAGATAGATTAAAAGGCAAAATACTGAAAAACAACAATGCTGTGGGAAACAATGGCTGGATCTCGGTAGAGATACAAATATGATAAGCAACAGCTAAAAAGTAAACGTAAGTAAACAGCCAAAAATACAACCAGAGCTTTCGGACAACACTAGTCCTTTCTCATCATTCAAGCATGATTGGAACAATAGGCTAGATGAGATTAGAATAAACAGCGTGAACAAGTGAACAGGATTCTCGGCCCTTAAGATTTTCAATATTAGCTTCATATCAACTTTTTTGTCCTTTGTATTATTATTAATTTCTTATTGCCTTTTATTTTAATAATAGGCCATACTCAGCCGGTGTGCCCCCGAAGCCATTATAATATTATGGCATTAAGCATAATACATTACTGAGGAGTATATGACTTATACATAATTTCTCATGTTTCCATTAGGCTACTTTCAGCATGACAATTAAAAAAACACAGATTTTTTTATAATAAAATATATGCAAAGACATTATTCTATTCGGAGGATGTATGCCTACACACAAGTAGCTTTCAATTCTCAGTCTTTACGTTTAAAATTATTATTGTCCTGGAGAGGCATCAAAACAACATCCATACTAGGCCTACATCATATTATTGTTTATTTGTAGAGATAACGAGATAAATAATTATTTAGGCCTATTGCCTATAGTAGTATCCGGTTCCCGCCCACGCAGTGCTTGGTAAACGGCCTGGTACTATCGAACCACAATATTTTTTGAATTTAAATTGATCGTACTGCAATTAGTATTTTGTTTTTGTGAGGTTTTGTCAGATTTTCTTATAAATTATAATTTAATATGGAAAAAAAATATGATAGATTTACCGCCTTACTGCTTGCTTGACGTACCAACGAATCGATCTACCGCCCCCAACTTACCTTGCTCATGATTATTCATGATTGAAACCCTACCACCGGCTCAAAACATCAGATCGGAAAATCGATCGGGGTTTTTTTAGACTGAACGACGTGGGTTCTAGGTTCTATGGCGAAAAAATTTAAAGCAGAAGAGAACCACAAACAAATAGATATGATGATGGAGGTTGATGCTGGAGGAGAAAAAGTGCCAAAGAACGCACATTTTGCTTGTTTAATCCTAGCCCGCGGAGGCAGTAAGGGCATCAAGTTGAAGAATATAAAACCACTTGCTGGTCAGCCCCTGATCAGTTGGGTGTTGCGAGCTGCCATCGACTCTGGAGGTAGGCTAGCTAGGCCTAGGCATACGTTTAGCCTAGGCTAGGTGTTTTGTTTGCATTGTGAGAACAGTAGAAGACTTACAGTAGGCTAGGCTATAGGCCTATTTTTCGAATGCTTGGTCCGAGTGTAAACAATACTCATGCGTAAACAATAATATACCTAAAAACAGGCCCCTCTCTTACTAGGCCTAGGCCCTAGTCTAAATAGAAATAGGCCTGATGCCAATTGTTGCGTTTCACTTTTAAATGGTGGCCTACTAACTGTAGCCTATGGATAATAGTAGGAGGCCGATAATTTGTAGGACTATGGTATCAACCGTCTATACCTGAAAAAAACATTAAATGGTTTGTAACGACTGCATAGGAAATATTTAAATGTCAGGCCTGCAGGTATGTATTTTAATTTAATTCCCAAAGATGCTTCTGAAAATGAATACTCTTTTAAACTTTAGCAATTTATTAATACTTATTAAATTTTTTTATTTTTTTGTCAGACTTTAACTAATGTAGTTTTAATGTATTATTAATATTATTTGTATGCCTGTCACACTAAAATTGGTCCAGGCCAAAAAAGGTCCTGCGGAAAGATGTTGGCCGTCAAAGTCGGTCTGCCAGACCAGATTTTCCATTCAGCGCCCCATTGCATTCGGTGCATTTGGCATGCGGCAGCGACCTTTTCATTCGGCTGCGACTACGTATTCTGCACATTTGTCATACGGCGGCGACTTTTTCATTCGGTGGCCACCCTAGTATTAGGCGACTACAGCATTCGTGACTTTAGCATTCGCCGACTTTTGCATTTGGTGACTATACAGTAGGCCTGTATCAATTGGCAACCATCCAATAGGATGAAACGGGTAATTTCCAACGCCTGCTTACTTACTAACTTATATTATATTATTTGTGTTAATCTGGTGCTTGTGTTTGTGCTCTTCTACTACATTTGAACAAGAATAATGATAATACACATGATTAGTATATTTTGAAGTTACTTGTAACTCTATTAAGTGAATTTGTGATCTAAAATAATGATTCTGTGACATTTAAAAGGACATTTAGTGGAGTGTCCTTTGCCTACAAATCCTAATACAAAGCATTTTATTTTACGTGTCGTGGGTTTTGTAGGTTCAATGTTCAATGTTTATTTCCACAATTCAATATTATATATTATACATATAATAATAATATAATATATACAGATATAATAAATCCTCAAACAATGGGATTTGATTTGTGGAGGAGGCTATATCTGATTAAACTCGTCTGATCAGCTTTAAGCCATAGCCTCCATACATAATGGTTTAAATTGTATTACTAATTTTACAGTATGTTTTTAAACAAAACAAAACATAAAAAAATAAATAACACAAAAACAAAATAAATGAAACAAATATGATTATATTATATGTAAATCTTGTGAGAACCGTTAACTTTTTTTTTCCTATGCATGTCATAATAACAAATTTAATGATAATGATAATAGTAATAGTAGCAACAATAACGATAATAATAACAATAATAGTACCGACAACAAAAGTAGTAATAATGATAATAATAATAGTAATAATAATAATATCAAAGACAGAACAATAATAGTAGTAATAACAATAACAATAATAAAAATATCATTACCATTACTATTACAAACCACCACCACAATCACCACTACTATTATGAAACAGTGAGCATATTAGACCAAAACAAGACACACGTCTAAAGAAAATATTTATTCTTCATAAGTAGAGATTAAGGACTGCTTATAGGATTTTAGCCCTTCTCAACAAATGATCTATTGCCACAAAACTTATCGTTCTAGCAATGACAAGGAATTCTCTCAGTTTGAATGCATGGATTGTGATCTAGACATTTAAAGGTGCTGCATTACGCCTTGCCATTGTTTATCGTCCGCCTCCATCTACTACTAATGGCTTGAAAATCAGTGATTTTTTTTTGACGAATGGTCAAGGTTTCTTTCATGCTGCAGATGATCGTAATGCACAAAGCTTTATTAACATTTTGGAGTCACACGGTTTGCATCAGCTGGTTGATGAGTCTACCCACATTCACGGACATACTGTACACTGGATGTGATCCGCGTATAGAAAATTTCACACTACAGAGACGGCGCTTCTCAAAGTACAAGATGACATTCTCTCTGCTCTCGATAAAGGTCAAGTGTCAGCATTAATTTTACTGGACATAACTGCCGCGTTTGATACAATCCACCATCAGATACTGCTTCGGAGGCTACATAACCATTTTGGAATACGCGGAAACGCTCATGCTTGAATTGCATCTTACTTTACTGATCGTGGTCAAACAGTTACTATAAACAGTGAGCATTCGAACTCTCTCCCTCTTAAGTATGGGGTTCCTCAAGAGCCGGTCCTGGGGCCGAAGATATATGCTATGTACACCAAGCCACCAGGGGATATAGTTCAACGACATGGCCTGAGATACCAATTTTATGCCGATGACACACAAGTGTATGTATCATTTAACACAAATAATAGATTGGCATTACAATCATCCCTGGCGTCAGTGGAAAGGTGTGTTGGAGATATAAAGGCTTGGATGTCTCATAATGTACTAAAATTAAATGAAAAGAAAAGTGAGGTAATAGTCTTTTCATCGCGATATAATCATAAAACTAAGAACAGTCTAGATCTGGAATTAAAAGTTGGTAGTGTGGTTGTTACACCGACATCCAAGATGAGAAATCTTGGAGTGATGTTTGATAAACACCTCACCATGGATTCTCATGTTCTTTCTGTTACAAAACAGAGTTATATGCACCTACGCAACATCTCTCGCATCCAATGCTACCTCACGCTTGGTGCCACAAAGTCATTAGTGCAGTCGTTGGTAATATCTCGCATTGACTATTGCAATGCCTTATTGTATGGTCTTCCGAATTCAACCCTTAATAGACTGCAAATGGTTCAGAATACGGCAGCACGGGTTATTACTAAGACATCACAATATGACCACATTACTCCAGCATTAAAAGAACTTCACTGGTTACCAGTACAGGCATGGATTAAATATACTGTAAGCTGCTTGTGCACACTTTTAAAGCCTTGCAAGACCAGGGCCAACTTATCTCTCCAAAAGATTAAATGTGTATCAACCAAACAGACCTCTGCGATCCCAAGGTTCATATACATTAAGTGTTCCCAGAGTCAAAACTCAATCATATGGGGAGAGGGGTTTTGCAAAGGCCGCACCTACGCTCTGTAATGGTTTGCCGTATCAGCTTCGCAGCGCCTCTTAATTAGACATTTTTAGAAAAGCACTGAAAAATGCATTTATTCAACCTAAATTATAATTAATAATTTGTTAATGCTGCACAGTTTTTACATTTTGTAATAAAATGTTTTAACCGGTAATTTAATTGAAGTTTGATGGTTTTAATTATAGCTTAATTGTTAATAAAATATTTTAATCAATAATAATATATTTTAAATTGTTTTATTTCAATTTACTGTAATTAATGTATTCTCAGTTGTTTATATTCTGACTGTTAATTTATTGTATTCTTAATGTAAGGTGCCTTTGAACACGATTATTCATGAAAAGGGCGCTATAGCAATTTGGTAAATAAATAAATAAAATTAATTTTTTTAAAGTGTTTACGGAAAATTTTGTTTTTAGGTCGTCTTGAAGCTTCAGCCATAATTTGGGGCCATAATATGGAATAGAATAGGTCAAAGTATTATAGTACTCTATGTAAATAGGCCTACAGTATTATTTTAATTAATGTTCAGTCATTAAATAAGAATGACCTTGTAAATTAAAATACTAATATAGTTCGAGGCTTAAGCAGTACGAATAAACACAATGTACTGTAGGTCTAGACGTTATTGACTTTTAAACACGAAATATTAGAACATTTAAAATGCAGATATATACCTATTATACAGACTGTATTAAATTTTCAGCTTCCTACCTTCAATAATGTTATTAAAACAATATTTTCGCCGACCTGGGCCTAGATTTCTTTGCTTCAAAAACTGCTTGGAAAGTCAAAACTTTGACTGAAACAGGCTATAGCAGAAACTAAATTTAACGTACGTGTCGTCAAACCAAGGAAATTGGTTGTTCGTAAAACAGATTTGTTTTTAGTAGGCATATGTACGATGTGTGCTTGTCTTTCTCGCCTAGCTAGGCCTAATCGTTTTGTAGGCTAGTTACAGTAGGAAGAAGTGACGCTAGCCAACCAAAGCCTAAAACACATCGCCTAATTGAAGCCACGCGGTCTGCGTATATCGTAATGCTTATCTAAATCTATTATTTTTCTTCATTGTACAGTATTATTATCATATTTAAAATGTTTATTATCTAAAAACAACCAAATTAAACATATTGTAGGCCTAATCCTACTGTTCGCAAACACAAACATGATCACATCGTGACTTCACTACTGTCAAGTACATAGTATGTGTGTGAAAAATTCCAGATAGATCGTTCTGGGCATGCTCATGGACATGCATGGGCAGTTTTGAAGCACAGACAGAGTATGTTGATACGATCATAGTTTTTATGAAAGTGATATTTCCCATGAAAGATAACGCTAAAATGAACACTAAAACAACATTTTTCAGTGATTTTCTTTTATAAAACATATACCACACTATTAAAATAATACAAGTACAACCATTCTTACACCAACAATATATTGATTTAATAGAGATTTAATTAACAAAATCACGATCTGTAGGACGATGTACAGTTGAGCGTTTGGTAAAAATCTTAGTTTATATTATAGGCCTAGTAAAAAATTGCCGAGACTGCCGACATCGGAGAATTTAAGGTCAGCAAATTTTTGTAGACCAATTTTTTTCCAAATTTCATTGGCTGGTTATCTTAACACCAAGTA